TTATATGGCGCTCTGATTTAACTTGGTAGAGCTAGCATTTTTGTCATCACTTCAAGATAATATTTCATGTTTGATTTGGATTCTTCCACCGATGTGTTTATGGAGAGAGGGAAAAAAAAAAAGTATTTACATATTACATATTGAGACGACAGTTTTACGCAGAAAGTGTACTTAATTCAGCCACTTCTACATACAAGAACAGGAAGTCTGGTATGGAGAGCCTTGAACAAATACTTGAGCTTTCTGTAATTAATTTTGTAGCCACTCAGAATACTTATAGTTTCTAATCTCTCCCCAAACTAGTATAATCTTGACACTGTATGCTTTTTGGTGCTTCTTAACCTACAAGTAGTTCTTTAAGATACTTTTCCAATGAGGTGTTAAGAAAAAGCAATTTTAAGTTCCAAAGCAACGATTACCGCTTCACATTGTGAGCTGCTTAGCACAAACAACTTTTCAAGGCGTAGCTAAATGTAATCCTTTACTAATGGCTAACGCAAAACAGTAGCTCAGGAACCCTTCCAAAATGAATAAGAAATTATTTCTCTTGTGCCTGAAAGGATCACCCAGAAGAGATTTTTAGGGTTACTCCTACTCCTTCGGGATTCTGATGACATCCGCCAGACAGCTTGTGTTATCACTCACCTGAAGACAGGATCTGATACCTCAAGAACAGCCTATTAAAAAAAGAAAAAGTAATTCAGTTCACTTTACCCTACAACTACAGATCCCGACTCCTGTGGTAGTTTAGCTGCACATTTTATGACAAGTTCAGTAATCGTACTTGACCAGGATTTCCTAATAACTAATTGATGATGAAAAACAATCAAGTCCTCCTGAAAAAGACATATTTATTTGACTTTATTTTTTCTTTTTGCTTTTTTTTGAAATTGAAACAAAACAAGTCACCTCAGGATCTGGCTGTAACAGCTATAATAGGATAATCAAACATTTGATGAGCACAGCTCTCCAACCTTACAGAGGGAACTTGTTGGTTTCTGCTCATCTCTACTGACTAGATGCAAGCATCAGAGCAACACGCCCACCTCCAGTGGTCCTCATCTTCCTGTATTTAGTTAGCACAGAAGCATAAAAAACAGCAGATAATCCTCAGCCTGTTTCTGTTCTACCCTGTGTTTCTAAATCTTTGCCATTCACTGATAAAGGCATTATAACATTATGTAGATATCAGATATAATGGAGTCGTCCAGAACAGTTTTTCTCTGTGAAGATGAAATGGCAGCATAAACACATGGCAAGGACTAGTGGAATTTCTCCAGTAATTTGAAATTGCCTCCCACGTAGCTGCTGCAAAATCATTATAGACTGTACAGAGCAGAGAGAGTAACCGACTGCAAAGTTTCTGGTACCATACCGAAAGAGGGCTACAAGAAAACTGGATAGGAAGCTATGTGGAAGGTAGAGCTTTTGGATCACGTATGTCTTACACAGCTGGAATCCCTAAACTAGCAAGTATAGCAGTGTGTGGACTTACAGGTTTGTTCTGGACACAGCGCTGCTGCTTTTCTGAGCTGCTGCACCCATGCTATGAAGTCATGCCAGGAAGCCATGCCAAAAGGGCAAACTGCCATTTATAGGCCCAAACTGGCTTATGCAGAACCAGCTCCAATATCCCAGTATCACATACTGAGCTGGTCTTAGGATTAGAGAGCACAGACCTACTTTGGGACCACCATCATGAGAGCTGCAGATACAAGTACCCTCTCTATTTCCCATACAGAAACTCTGGATTGCTCTAGGAATTGGACTTGGATTACTTCCAACCTCTGCCATTCTCTTCCAGACAGGATTGTTTCACTTCTAACAAAAGCATTGAGTGAGAAAAATGTAGGAAAGTCCTCATTCCTAAATGGTAGTGTTGCAAGAACTGATAAAACAATGACTCAAAAAGCAGTCACCACAAAATCTAGTATTGAAACATGCTGCCATTCTCATGAGCAGCACTATCAAGCGGGCAACTATTGGAGTCCATGGGTTTGGTGACGATTCAAACACTAACATGTCATACCTATGACTAATAAAACAGAACATTTGGAGATGGTGTCAGATTGCTATCAATGTAGTTCCTGGACATAGAAGTTGGTAAACTATGCCTGATCAGAAAAGGCCTGGATTTTCAAGTAAATTCCTGAGGTGGAGAGATACCAGGGACAGGGAGAAGGATAAAGGCAAGAGGCGTGGGAGGAAAGAGACACGATTTGTCCCACTTCCTCTCCTTTACCTTGGAAAAGTGAAAGTAGTACAGCTGTTTCTCAGAGGCCTGGAAAAGGTGGCAATTATCAACAGAAATCTAACTCACATCAGAGCTGGTCAGATCACATTTATTCCCAATTGAAAACTGACTTGCAGATAAAGTTTTAAACAGCCTTCCTTTATGGTAACAAAAAATGCCCAAACAACAAGAAAACTGAACAACAGAGCACTAGAACATTTGTTAAACGATATGCCTCTCACCTCCACAAGACAGTAATCTGCTATGTCCATCAAACAGAAATACGATTACCTTACAGTAATCGTAGTATTACTACAGTAATACAAAAGCAGTATTTGAACAATGGTGATTTTTGCTCAATCAAGAGACTAAGAGCTCGGACAACAAGAAGTTGAGAGAGAAGCCAGCCCAGAAATAAAACCAGGCAAACAGGTTCTACATTAACTTGTAACTTACAATAAACAGATATCTAAGTGCAAAACGAATCAGCTTTTACTCCAAGGATATTTCTCTAATTTCCACTTTGTAGCCACTATCAGTTACATAAAACCATAGTACAATGCACTAACATTAAGGCTTTGGATGTTAGCGATGAAGAACAGCTCGAGCAGGAGCCTGAAACCAAAGAACACTGATATTAAGATATTACAGTTATGATCACAGAGAACACACGTATCACTGGTCTACATGTGGACGAACATTTGAAAAGTCTCCTTCAGCATATTCCCTAGTATTACATTTTTCTTCCTTTATTTTAAACCTGCACAGTTGTAAACCCTCCTTGTGAGAGAAAGAAAAGTCCCAGACTTTTTACAATCAATGAATTATATCATAAAACAACATCCTGTGACCTTCAAATGCTTTTCCTCTTGCCCTTGTGATTTAAAGTGCATTATGCAAGGAAAAAAAGCCAGAAGCATGGCCCTCTGTTTCAAGCGTTCTGAAAAGGGTTATAATATCGCAAAGTCTGAGGTCAAGCAGGTGGTTGCCTGATTTGGTAGTTTGGTAGCTCACTGGTTTGTCACAGGATCAAATAACCCTATCACTCTCCAGCCATCAAGTCTCAAGCACTCTGGGAAACTGTGTTAACATGGTTTCCTCCTGACCATTTCTCGCCAAAAGACAACTCAGAGAAGCCAAACCAACCTTTCTTTTAATCTTAAATGAACTGTTCATCAGGAAAAATTAAAGGCCACCCTTAATCGACAACTGATGTGAAAGGACTCAGAATAAACTGTGTAGATGGGCATATTAAATATTGCCTCGCTCTCTAAAAAACAGAAAAACAACAAACCACCAAACAACCAAACCCAAAACAACACAAGAAAGCCACACAAATATGCTAGAGTTGCTAATAAATACACCGCTTTTTATTTCAACTTATCCTCATTAGCAAAAAACAGGACAAATAAATTACTCCAACCATTGACTGGGACCAGACTTTTTACCTCTGAGTAGTGATCTGGAAAAGTCTGAACCAGTTAATGCTACAGCTTTCTCCTTAACAAAATAAAAGGAAACAAACTCTTTAATAAAATTCCTGAAAACATGACTATTGATCATTCTAGGATGAATAATATATTCAAATCATAAATAAATGATAAATACTTCTGATACTTAGAAGAATGTTTACACAGTTCTGTAAACTCATTCATTACGTAATTTGATGAATGTAAGGGTAAATAAAATCAGTAATACAGCAGCAATGTGTGTGGTGGCTCTCTGCACATGTGACCTTGGGAGAAAGTAAGAATGAACATTAACTAGTAAACCTGCAGTTAACAGAAAAGTATAGCATACATTTCATGTTTAAGATGTGTAAAAACAGGACCTGTTCACTAGCCAAAGCATTCATTAATATTTACCATTATTATACAATACCATTCTGAATTACTCATTGAGAAATTTAATATACACAGACATACCCCTGCTACGTAGGTTTCTTCCGCCAAAATAAAGTGATTGCAAACCGCATTCCTTTAAATGGAATCTAGCAACAAAAACTAAATAAAGGGGGAAAAGGGCTCCCAGCAGTATTCTTATTTACAACTTGGTAAAGCAAATTTAAAAAAATGAAGTTTCCATTTCTGCCCATGTTTTAAAGAAGCAAAAATCAGGTGAACTTGACCACAACAGTTAATGACATTTAATACAAGTATCTACAATTCCATTAGATTTATAGCAGGCAAAACCATCTCTTTTCAGATGACAAGTAAGGGTAGGGATGATATTCCAATTGCCAAAATCTGAAGGTGAAGAGCTAACTTATCATCCAACTGAGAGCCAAGTACATTTTTCCTTAATTAAGAACCAGGAATATAGAAATAGTTAATTTTTTTCTGAAACATCTGGCTATTAGGAAGCCAGAATACCTCATGCTCCAACAGTTAAAGGCCACCTCTAAATTCAGAGGCTGCCCCAGCTCCCTTGCCCAGGCACACATCCTCGCTAGATCTTGGCTGCATGTCTGGATGAAGCTTCCGTTTCATACATCCCATACTACCACGTGCCCCGATTTGCTCTGGAGACTTATTTTACTTATATGGAAACAGAATTTATAGGGTACCCTTTGTCTAGGCAAGAAACATGGACCAGAACAAGAGTGCATCCGTCCTTCACTGAGACAAAGAGAGAGTATCATAGAAAGTGACCTGTGTGTGGGAAGCACCTATAGAAATACCTGAAATGAAGATCAGCATATGAACAAATGAAATCTCAGTATGATTAACAACCTAGCAAAAGAAAGAATGTAAAAAAAAAGTACTACCTTCTTTTCAGTGGGACTTGAAGTCTTTGATACCAAGGCTGCTTCAACAAGACCCTGCTCAAGCAAGGAGTCATATTTTATGCTTCTTTTCCTGTTTCTCCTCTCCTTGTTTGCTGGCTTTTGTTCATTTTCCTCTGACTGAGACACATCTGCACCATTGTCTCCACAAATGGAAGATTCAAAAAGAGGCTTTCCATTCATGTAGGTTTTAGTGATTTTCAGCTTAATTTCTGGAGAGCCATTCTTGATAGGAGTAGTGTTGGGTGGTGTTCCAACTCCCTTTATTTCCTGGGGTTCAAAGCGCAGCTTGGCATCTTGGGCCCCAGATTCGCCATTAAACACACGAGAGGTTAGATCTTTCAATTTATCAGCTGGAATAAATGGAAGAGCATCATGGCCATTATATTTTTGCATGACACCTTCTTGTAGAGTGGCAGAAAGTTGTGCTTTGCCCAAGTAGACAGAACACTCACGATTCACTTCACAATTCTGAGTCTTCCCATTGGTATTTCCAAGGATCTCTGGTACCTGCTTCATTTTGATGTAGTTAATTTTTCGAGTTAACAGTTGAGAACTTCTTTTGATGCTAAAGTCCATTCAGCCCAGATGTTTCCAGTCTTACACTGCTATATTAAGACAAAGACAAGAGAATAATTTTAATAATCCAGAAATGTCAAAAGCAACCAAATATTCAGATAGATACGTCCCCGTTAATATAACACTCAATGTACTTCATTCAACTTTTACTAAAAACAAAAAGCATTGCTTACAATCTTAATAACCAAAATACTTCAATATCTGTTAATATGCATTATGAAAAAGTCCAAGAAAAAGACTGATGAGTCATCAATTTTATTAAAACAAAAACAGAGTGCAAAATCACAAAGTTTCATTTTAACAATCTGTTAACAATTTACAGCGTGAGTCTTACCCACACTAATTACACAAAGGTATTGCAGTGTTTAAAACAAATAAAGAGTTAGACCCAAGATAATATCATTAATAACAACGTAAAACAGATGAGTTTATTTCCAAGAGGTCGTGCCAGCGTAAAACCCCCACAGGCTGTGTTACTGTAGCAACTACACCATGGACAGCAGCATCACAAGCTTCTCCTCCTCACTCTACAACAGGCCCTCAATCTTCCATCAAAGCACACCTCCTGAGGAAACAACATAGCTCAGACTTCAGACGTATCCCAAAGTGTTCTGGCTATGTCACCGAATAAAAGGCGAGCATTTTGTACCATGAACACCAGCCCACTGGGAACCAGCTGATCCTTCAGGCCAGTGGTCACACTGTGCAAAATTTAAATAGTCAAAGCAACTGCTGGAGTTCCAGCTTTTTAATAACAACAACGTCATCTAACACCCATTTTGCATACAGAAATCTAAAAACATCCAACAAGCTAAAACTGCACTATTATTTGCCCTAGACAGGTTTTCTGAGGGTTCTAAAAGCTAATCCTGCCCATTTCAACATTATACTATCTTAGCAAACAAATGAATCTAGCAGTGTCTCCTAGACAAGGCAAGATGACAGTTTTCATTTTTAAAATTCATATGCATAGATCCTTCATAATACCAGGTCCAGTGTATACATGATCTAGAGGAATATACCATCATAAATATTATGAAAGCTCAACAAAATAATCATCATATCCATGCCCAAGGTAACCAATTTCATATGTGATTAAGTCCAAGAACTGTCACACTGAATCACAGATTCATCAAATCTAGTCTCCCATGCTTCCAAAAAAAGTGCAGTAAAAATCACAATGAGTAACTATTGAATTTTCAGTTGCTATGGAAGAAATATCTTCTGAATCTCACCATCTTTTTTATTAATGTACACAGTTATAATGCTTATGACTGGCTTATTCCTGAAATTTAGGCATTTGCTACCTCTACATCTGGAGTAGCAATGTATAAATGCTTACAAGTGAGCATTACCATAGCCTGGCAAAGCTTCTTAAGGGTGTTAAGCCTGAACACAAAGCAATTGACCAACATGAAACCTTTTCATGCGTGAAGACGCAGAAAAAAAATCTCTAAAAATCGTAATACCATCAGTCCTTAGGAAATGCTTCCATCTCCCTAACACGCTACTCTAAGGTACCTACAAGATAAAAGGGTCTCTCTCCATACAAGCTATGTAGACTCATTTGAGTCTATATAGCTTTCTCCAGGGACAAACAGCAGCCTGAAAAGCTGACATTAAACAAGGTAAAATGAGCAAGTATACCTGATCTCCAAGTGAGTCTATGACAGGAAAGGTTCTAATTTTTCTTTAGCCAGATGAAGTCTGAATTACCAATAAAATCTCTGATAAAATGAGTGGAAACCAGCCAAATGTATTAATCCTTTTGAAGAGGAGTCAGAGGTAAAAGGAAATTCAAAACTACACTAGAATAGAACAAAGAACTCACAAAACCAAAAGAGAACTTATGTACTTTCACAAGATCTTCTCTGAAAACATGGACATGAGACAGATTCTCAACCCAATTAATAATCTGACAATATTTCAAGCCGTGATTCAGCAGATTTAACTGAAATCATGTTTATTTTAAGAAAAAACTGATGACAAATTCTGTAAATCTATAGGCAAAAGGCAAACCCATTACAGAATATGTGACGCTTATGGTTACGGAGGTAACAGCAAAACTCCTTAGAAAAAACCCAAAACACTAAATAGTTGCAACATCTGTACTTTACCAGAGATTCTTAACAGAGTAAACCAGAATGCAAAACAGAGATTCGATCTGGGCATCTGAAGTCCCTCTAGAACACCAAGCCTGCAAGCGAGCAGCAGTTCCGCGGCTGCAGACGCCCTCCAGTGGTTGCCGGAGCCAGCCGGAGCAGCACACGCCGCCGCTCATCAACAAGCGGACCAGCACCAAAAAGGCCTTATCCGTCCTTCCTCCTGTCCATCAACTACACGGTTAAGTTGAAAACCATTTTTGAATATGGCTCCACTAGCTACTTACCAGGGTCTGGATTTCTGGATCGAGACATCTGGGTTTTGTAACTCTGTTTTCATCCATAATTCTACCAGTATTTCTTTGTCCTGCCTAGTAGTAACTGACTCTCATCATTTATTTCTTTAAGCTAGAAAGCCATCAAGCTTGAGGAAAACCAGGACAACTCAAAAGATGCAACAAATAACCAAATTAGACTACATTACTAGTGTACTCAATCTCAAAACACTGGATGCATTAAAAAAGTCATAGCTTAAGAGTTTCAAAATATAAAAAACATCATAGATTCACAGAATAACTTAGGCTGGAAGGGACTTCCTCAGATCATCTATTCCAACCCCCTGCTTAAATCAGGGCCAATGCAGATCAAGCTGCTGAGGGCCTTGTCTGGACAATAACTAGTAAAAAACTAAGTGAAAATACATGGCTTAAAGAAATTAAGTTACTCTCTTTCCAGCTAATCAACTTAATGGTAGTAATTCCGTATCACAAAAATATGAAGACCAATGCGGTGAAAGACCCTGAACTTTTAGGGATTATTTCCCTGATACATCCAAAGATACACAGCATGCAAATTTTAGAACTTCAGTGAGTGAAGGTTCAGTTAACGATCCTCACTGAAACAGGTCACTAAAAAGAGCTGAAAGTACTGAAAAAGGCCCCTCAAATCTCTGGAGCCTAGAGAGACAAATCATCCAGGAGTATAACTGGTTAAAGGAAGTCAATGTACACAAGCCAACAGTAAATGGGAAGATGAAGACAAAGGCAGTAATTTGAGACAGTGAATCAGAGCTGGTAGATACAGATTATAGAATATGGAAAATAGACCACGTTTGCACAAAGACTTAATGGAGTCAAATGAGAAAAGGCTTAAAGTAAGAGGCAGAATAATGGCCAAAGATAAGAGATGTGAGTACCTATAAGCAAATGTAGTCCCACTGGGGAGATGAGACTTGTAGAGAGCAACTTGCAGGTTAGTCACCACCTCTACGACAACCAATAGAAGGAAATTGTCGATACACTTCTCAGTCCTCCTCATAAAAGATAACCTGCATTGTGGGGTCTGGTTAAATGGAAGAAGCTAGCAAATCCACACATGGGAATAATAAAGGGTTTCAAGAAAGAAGGGCAATATTGAAGCTAGTTAAATTTTGTATAACCTTTGCTATCTAAAATTCATGGTAGCAGAATATCGTAAGCAAAAAAAAAGACGAGGCTCTTTGCAAGAAGAGCACAATAATGCAGAAAAGAAGAAAAGGGGCAAGGAAAGAAAATGATCAGCAACAGATAACCAAGCAGTACTGTGAGCTTAGAATTAATGCAAGGTGATCTAGAATACAGGACCTGAAAGAATGAAGTGAGATATACCACAGACAAGATCTGGTTGACCAGAGCTGTAAGAGTAAGGTCCTGAAGCAGCTAAGCATATGATTAGATTTGGTAGTTAAATTAAGTGCACTCATGCCGGACCACCCTATGACACACAAGCAAAAGCAATCCCTTATCTTTTTCTAGATGACTGTATCTATTGAAAAAGAAACTGGGGGGAGGTTAGGGAAAGGAAGGGGAAAAAAGCACCACACACTAGTAGCAGCTAATGAGCATAAGCTAGTATTGTCCCATATTGGGTGTCCGGTGACCCAACAAGTGCCATTTTCACTAATAAAGAGGAAAAAACATGATAGCCAAGGAGTCTGATGAATAAACATGATATTTTGGCTTGTGCACAAATAGCTTTCAGTAAGCAAAAGAAGACTGACTTATTAGAGAAAGGTCTCTAGATATTTTAATCAGACAATGACAATTGGACAACCCTTGCAATGGCTTTGTACACACTTTCACACTAAAAACCAGGTTCTACGTAAGGCAAATTATTTTGCAGACATTTAAAATAGTGTTATTAGTTACTTGAAGGTGCATCATCTGACAGGAGTCATGAGCCAAACAGAGTTAGTCTGCATGTGAGATTCCTCCTCCACTGTCCAGGCCACTATCATTTATGTGATATTTATTATTCGTTTCTTCCACATCTGCTGCAATTTCAGAGATGCTTTTCTTGTGTGTCAGAAATAACGGAGTAGTCCATTCCTTCCAATTCTGCCAAAGGGAGTGAACAGAGCAAGTAATCAACAACAAGCGTCACTATTAAATACCACTTTTGTTTTGTCTAAAGGTTTTCTTAAAGCCATTTCTCAGGCGAGTTAGTCGGGGTGGGGGAAGATGACACACCTAAATACAAATTCACAGTAAGAGAACTTTATCCACAAAAGCTATTTTTATTACCTATAAATCAGACTTTCAGCTGGCACTGAAAAAGCTAATAGATGGCTGTAGCTTTTTTCTGTAAAGATAGCTTTCTGATAAGTCTTCTCCATTCTCTCATCAATTTATGACCAAAGGTTATTCCTATTTTCAGATCAGAATGAGACAAAATACTTAAAGAGATTAGTAAAGTAACAACACATTCTTGCTAATACATCTGAAAACCTGAGTATGCTTATTCACATTATCTTGTATAAAAACCCTAAAATATCAAATAGGAGTAGAGACATATTTAGTATCATACAGTACATTGTGACTGTTCTTCACTGTATTAAAATAATGAAAAATTACTACAGGATCTAAACAGAATTTACTTTCAGAAG